CGCAAGCAGCCGTGAGGACATTACGGGATGTGGTGACTGCCCTGCCTGTACCAAAACGACTGGTGGCAACAGTCGGAGTGCATCGAGCTTCTGCCTCGCGGCAGCTGTGGAGTACCTTCGTGCGCTTAGGTCGACCTCTGCCGGCACACCAGCGCGGCACGTCGTGACACAGCGGTGCCTCAACAATTTGCACCAGGCACTTGCGCTTGATGGTAGTCACGGCAATAGCTTGACGTTGCTGGGAGTCTTGCACCAAGCCGGAATGGGTGTGCCACTGGATGAAATCGAAGCTTACCAGTGCTTCGTCAAGGCACATGAGAGTGGAGATTCTCTTGGAACCCTCCACTTGGCCCGCTGCTACAAGCGCGGCACAGGATGCAACACAGATCTGGCAAAGGCACGGGAGCTCTTTGCCACAGCTGCCACAGCTGCTACGCAGATGGCCACCTTGGAGCTGGCTTTGATGTACCGTGCCGGCTTGGGTGGAGAGGTGAACTGTGAAAAAGCTGTCGAGCTCCTGCAGAAAGCAGACGAAGCTGGAGATGCTCTTGCCGCGTACGAACTTGGCATGGGGTATGCAAACGAGACAATGGGCCTGTCAAAAAACTTGGAGAAGGCACGGACCCACATGGAGTCTGCTTGGCGTCGCGGATATGTCCCGGCAGTTGCCGAGCTTGCACAGATGTACATGCTGGGTATTGGGGGCCCCGAGGATGCCAACAAAGCAAGGGAACTGGCCATGACCCTGGATTTTCCGAAGCCGCGGCATCCTTCTGAGGTCGTGGACGACAAGTCGCTGACACGTGGATGGCTCAGCAGCCGTGTGCAAGAGCTCTATGCAGGCGATCTTGAAAAGCTCGATCCAAACCAGTGGTGGCAACTGCGCGTGCCAGATCCGGAAGAGGCTGGGGGGGGGGGGGGGGGGGGGGGGGTGGAGCCGGAAGAACAGAAGAAGCACTTCAAACATGTAGCTAGGGATGAAAGGCCCAGGCCACGAATACAAGAGTCCATAGAGTTCCGAAGTTCACGATAGAACTGTTTGGAGGGAACGGTAAGCTCAACAGGGCCAACAATGCAGGTCAGACTGTGCAAGGTCTCCGCCTGCTGTTTTATGAACGAACATGCCGGGGTGGACAAGGTTTGTTGTCAGCTTGCCGAAGCGAAGGAGGATCCAAACGCGATGCTGAAAGCCATGGGTCTTTATGCGGAGCCGGCGCAGATCACCACAAGTGGGCCTTTTGCATCGCGGCCCACGGTGGTGCCTCCACCAGGTCGGGCAGAAATGGGAAGCTCTGCTCGAAGTTGCTTTGAGCCTCTGAGCTTAGCAGGAGGAGAGTCCGGCGGTTTGTGGCGTGCCACGATGGCATTTCGTAGCCAGGCGCCTGGTGGACTCTAGCAGTGACGAGCATGCTCATCAACATTCCTTGTCCCTTGCCGCCCTAAGAGCCCTGAGAGACCCAAGAGACCTGAGGCATGAAGTATGGGGATCCAGTCACCGTGTCAGCTGAGCAAGCAGCCGGATCCACAGGCAGCTGCAATAGCGGCTTGTGAGAATTATTGCGAAGCTTTGAGCCCCAGCGCCTTGGTTGTGCTTGGATCTCTGGACATACAGGCAAACGAGTCGTCGTAGAGATCGAGGCCACGTGCGAGCACCCAGTGGCAGGCAGAACAATTGTGCGTACCACTCTGAACTCTCACGGATGTTTCAGGAGGGCGGCATTTCGATCATCGCGGAGTATGTCTTGCCACGGGAGTACGACGCATTCATGAGCAACGCGCTTGCATGATCTTGGGCACCAAGGACACTAGGTCCGCGGTGCTGTTTGGGTGCTCTGAGTACACGCTAGGCAGACAGCCTGACGACACCTCCAGCCTGAGCAGGCGCAAGACCATGTTATAGCAAGCAGAGGCTGTCACACTCAATATCTTGATAAATAAGTGGATTGAAAAATATCAATCTTGCTACATGAATTTGAAGCATTCTTGGTGCTTGTTGCTTCTTTATGTCGTCTCATAGCACTTTTACGACAAACAGTTCCACAGTCACAGGTCATTTTCTCTTTTGCCTGGACTGTTAGATGCTCTTAATTTTCATCCAAAGAGATCTTTGTTACATTCTTGATTTGCGTGTTTATTGTCTTGATAATGCATGACCTTGCTTTCGAATATTTTCATTTCGGTGCTCTGTAGAATATTCTTTCTTTTTGTTCAAGTCGTTTGTCTCTGTTCTGATAGTAGGACTGCTCATTCCAACTCTGGACTTTGTCTGCACGAAACTGTTTTTGTTTTTTTTTCTACTAAGTTCTGGATTTTCAGTATCACTATACTGTTCTCATCGTCTCTGGTTGATGTCATCTCTGTTCTCTTCCCTATAAACCCGTTTTCTTTTCAAGCAGTGTTTCACGGTTTGTCGCTGCAATATTGCTTGTTGTAAGCACCCACCTCTTCCATTGTCCTTATGGTTTGTATGAATTCAGGGATGCTTTGAAGTCTTCTATATATTCGCGCTCCCGCGTTAATGCTCATAAACTGTAATTCGTTTGTTCTCTCTATATCAAAACCATGTCCCACTTTCCCACCCACTGTGTGTCTAAATGAATGGTATAAGTTCATATTCTACAAGAAGAGTCATGTGCATTCTTCCTATTTAGGTGCTATCTCGTATTCAGATTTTTTAAAGCTATATTCTTTAGCATGAATGGGCCTTGCGATGGAACATCCGACATCATTACTAATAGCAGAAAAGTTATACCGCTGTTAGTATGAACGATTATGAAGAGCATGTAACAGTTGTAGACGAGGTAGGGAAGATAGAGGAAGTACTATAAAATATCGCAGGTGTTGTCATAGTTTGTTGGAGATGTTTCAATCACTAAAATTGTACATGGCATTGCAATCTAACGAAGTCAACTCGAAGCAAGCAAAGATGGAGGGATGCAAGTAAATCAAGACGGCATTAATTGTCTATTTTGCAGATGTAAAAGGACTGCATATCATAAAGAAGGTATATCAACTACTGAAAACAATAAAGTGGTTGTTAATATTGTTGAGACCGGAGCAGTTTTAGTTTGGTCAAGGTGGGAATGTATCCCCATTTGAAACCAGACAGCACGGCACAAATTGGAGGCGTTGAACTTTGCACCACGTGAAAAAAGGGAAAAATGCCACCCGAACGAAGAACGACTGGATAACGTTGAAGAAGATGTTGAAAGGATGGATAAAGATGCTAAAAACTCAATAAACAACTTCAATATTCTGGATTACGGATCAAGTGCCCAATGCTGAAATGGACGCAAGAGGAGGAATACATTCAATAGCACTTCAAAAGCCAGTGTGTGAGTTAGTCATTTGTATACTATAAAATCAACCATTTTGAGGACAGTATACGTAGGCATAATCATCGTATCGTTTAATTTAAGTGAGTTGTGAAGGTGAAATGAATGATATGAGATGTTACTGCCCTAATTGTCAGATATGTAGAAATCATTTAATGTTTAAACGTCTTGACAAAAACAAAGAATACAAAAAAAGAAGGTAGGAGAGGCTAAGGTTGAGGGTTTGAGATATGGTGTGAAAGCGTACGGGGGGTATTGAGTGTGAGGTCTGGGGAAGGGGGCCGGGTTCTTTGGATTTTCTTTTGTTCGGTGTTGTGTTGGGAGGTGCTTTGGTTTTGATTGTAGTTGGGATGTCGGCATGGGATTTCGACAGGTGCTTTGCATTTTGGTGCTTGGAAGGGTCGATTTAGTAGGCGGGTTGAGAAACGGGGTGGAAGCGTAGGGGGGGGGGGGGTGTTGAAGTCTGGGGTCAGCCTCTGCTTGCTGTTGTGGTGTTACGCGGTTGTCCAGTGGCACATAGGGGTACACTGCTGCACGGTGCAATGCCTGTCTGGCATGCTTCGCCCTTGCAGTTGCACGCCTTTTGGCGGCATCTCCAGCAGGCCACGCACGGGTCTTGGCATACAAACAGTAGGAAATCAACTCTGAACATCGACGAAGTGAGTTGAAGTTATGTGTCTCTGCTTGTTTCTTGACGTTGAACCCTATTCCGTCGTATTTGTGCATCATCCGGACAACTTTTCATGGCATTCATGTATCTGTTGCTGCCTCATACTTCCATCACGAAGAGCAGCAACAATAGAAGAAAAAGCCAAAGCACATTCCCAATTCTACGTACCCCGTCCAAGAAGCCCTCAACCCAAATCCTAAACCCTTAACATGCTTTGGAAAAATATGGTGGCAGGGGCAACAACAGCGCTGGTGGCGGATACAGTCAATTCTAGTAGCCTTCACCCTATCTCTTTGTCTTCTTGTTGGTTTTTCCATTCCCCAAGATAGTGAAGAACTAGTACTGATCGCCATATGACTTCAATGATGCCGAAATTGTATGTTGCATACAAGGTAATAGCATGAACTATTCATGTCATTGCACGACATGGTAGTCAGCATAATTTTGCTGCATCCAGGTCTTTGAACGACTGTTCACTTGATCATGATGTCCACCTGGTAGGTATCCTGAGCGCCAGTGTGAAAAATCAATCCCGCTTCAGGTTGCGTTTGTGGATGAAGCGGTCCACCAAAGCTCGCCAGCCGCATCTGAACACTTGAATTCAGCGGGCCGTAGAATGCTTTAGCAAGAAAGGAGGCAGAACTTTTTGCTTTCGACTTTAGCTGTTGGACCCCAGCTGTTCTAGCGTACTCGACCTATGCATCCCTACTCGATCTGATTTGCCTATGCAATAGTCCTACTCCCACTCAGTTTCTCTCAAGTATCGAAACACCCGTTCACCAACCCTGAACGCGTCCTCTTCTCAACAAGACAGTAGCTAGGTTGGAGCAGGCAGCTCCACAAAGTGGCATCTGCCTGCTCCCGTTGAGCTTGCACATGGTGCTCTCACAGACCGTGCTCGCTTACGGGGATTAAAGTGAGTCCGACAGCTTCTGCACAAGGCATGACAAAACTGATTCACCGATAGGCGCCTTTGAGCACGACTCCACTCCCAGGTGCACTCCACTTGCAAGGCACGCGGGGACAGGCAGCAGCTCTGTGCTCAGCGAAGTTCCGCTTCGTCAGGCAATCACGTGCAAAAGGTTCGGTATGTGGGCCAGCAATCGTACGAACCGAGGATGGTCTTCAAGGTGCCGAGAAGATCGGTGAATCCAAAAGTGCGGGCAGGGCTGCATGTCCGGCGCAGCGACTGGTCAAAGCGACGCCTGTTGTGCAACCTGGCTGAGGGTGAGCATAACATGGCTACATGAAATTACATGAAGCACCTTGCGACAAGGGCCTTACGTAAGTGCACTGCAGGCATCGCGCTTTGCAAAGAAGATGCTTTGAGCTCAACCTTTCACGAAAGAGGATGCAGAAGTGCCAATGTTTGTCGTGCGTTGAGGCCAGCCGATGTCCCTTGGCCAAGCTCCCACAGGCAGAATTTGCAACTGCAAACTGGCAACTGACGTTGCGTGGCAACTTGCTTTGTGAGGGCTTTCTCCGCGCCTTTGTGAACTACGTCTTTTCATTCTTGGCTGATGGGAGTCGGCGGTGAAAATTGAAAACCTTTTTCCTCATCAACAAGACAGGACAAGGAGTGACGGGACCGATGCTGGCTCAATGTTGCCATTGCTTGAAGGTGGTTCTGCATGGTTCTGCGGCGGGAAGTCAGGCATAGCCTCGCAAGGACTCGTGCGCGGAGCACAGATGCAATCTCTGGCTCTTTGTCGCACGCCGCATGGATTGGCAAACGTGGCCTACGGCAATGTCTCACCCGTGTCCACAATGACACAGTGGACCGTGCGATTGAAAAAGGATGCTAGCAGCAGCGTTTTGAGGGGTTGTTTGGTGCTGACCAAATCGCCCTCCCTTTCCACTGTGCTTGAGAGGCCAAAGGCTCGAAGGAGATAGCAAAGACAGCAAAGAGCAAGGCCATCGGGTTCTTCTTCAGGAGCGGCTCGAAGCTCGAACCTACTAGGAGATCTGTTTGTTGCAGGAAGAGAAAGCCAAGGACGCGAGCCTGCGACATCACTTTCCCACAAGTGAGTGCATCAACTGCATACCGCCCAGCAGGACAAAGAAAAAGGAAGTAAAAAAGACACGGCCGACAAGCCGAATGGTAAAGCAGGCGAAGATGGAGGCAAAGGTGGGGACGAAAAGAAGCGCGAGAAGGATAAGGCAAGGGAGGGTCAGAAAGAAAAGGACAAGGAGCAGCCGAAAGAGAAAGACAGGATAAAGGAGAAACAGGAGAAGCAGCATGAGAAAGAGAAGGAGAAGGACAAAGAGAAACCCAAAGACAAGGACAAGTGGGGATGAACGGTCGCAGTGTGGACAGAACCATGACGTTGCACCTCCAGGAGAGGAAAAAAGAGAAGCGAGCAGCCGAGGAGGTGCAAACTGCTTATTGCATTGTTGCATTTCACCTTGGTAATTCTGTATACGGCACATGAGTCACATGAGCAATGCGAGCCGTTCAAGCAAGGACAAAGATGAGTCTGAGAGTAGGCGAAAAGACAGGCCATGGTTCAAAGATGGTCACGACATCATGTATGCAGCTCCAGCCTAATCCAGAAACCGCTACGCTGTGGCAGCAAGAAAGACGCTACACTCGTATCAGCAATGCTTCGCAACAGGAAAGAGAAGGACAAAGGCAGAAAACGCTTGGACCCGAGAACCAGTGAACTCTGCGGTACTGGCTAGTCGGATGGCAAAAACTGATTGAAGTCACTGAGCACGTGAATGCTGGAAGGGACTGCGCGCAGTGTCGCTTTGTGTCGGCCGGGTTTGGTTCAAGCTGATAGCGAAAACACACAAACCGCACCGTCTCCCCACCATCTTGACAGCATGCGCCGAATTGCCTTCTCGCTGCTTGTGGCCCTGTCCACAGCAACCGCGGACACAGAGTCTTCTGACGCGGATGTGACCAATCTGCTACAGCTGATAAACCCTCAGGGACCTTTGCCGGCTCAGACGGGAGCTCAAAGCCAGCTCTACGGCTCTGAACTTCAAGGACTTCAAAGGGCAGACTTTGCTTCCACAAAGTGGAGCTCGCAGAGCACGCCCGCCCTGAACGCTGAGGACTCGAAGCCGATCATCATGACGGGGCGCTTTGGCAACTTACCTCCGGCAGTGAAAAATTCTGGGGTGACTTCCCAGGTGTCTTCTCAGTCTTCTCTACTGAAGCAAGCAGTGCCTGTACAAGCGCCAACATCGCTCACATCGCCAACTCAGCCCACTCAGTCCTTGGGATCCGTGGCCTCGCTGGCAAAGCTTGCTGAGCTTGCTGAGCTTGCTCGCCTGAGCTCCACGAAGCCGAGAGTTCGTGAAGCCAGGGTCACAGGCACTGCACATAAGAAAGGGAAGAAAGGGAAGAAGTTGAAGAGAGAGCCGGAGGAGGATGTTGAGTTACCCAAGAAGTCCACGGAGCTTGTCCCAGAGCTCAGCAGTGAAGAGGTTGAACCTGAACCGGCGGAGCTTAGCAGCTCGAAAGTCAAGACTTCGAAATCCAAGAGCGTGTTGACAGACGCGGCTGTTTCCCAAGCATCGCACGGTGGTGCGAAGAGATTGCACGATTTGGCAGCTGCCGCATGCAAAGACTGGTTGCACGAGTGCCGTAGCATCAGTACCGACTTCAATGTGGACGCATGCATGCACTACAAGTCCTTCTGCCTGGATGGCACACCAGGGCTGATCGAAGGATCTGCAATGGCTGTAGGCCAGGCAGATCACGCTGTCTCCAAGATGGCTGCAGATATCATGGGGGCCCCTACACAATCACCGAAGAAAAGTGCTGAGACTGCGGACGCTGCGGCAACCGCACCAAGTCAGGCAGACACTGTAGAGAGCAAGACGTTGGGTGATGGTATCAGCACTGGCATCAGCCAGTCTGGAGTGGGTGGTTTTGGAACCGACCGGGAGCCTGAAACTGCACCCACTGCATCCACGGAATCCACGGACCGTGTCGAAGAGATCTCCAAAGATGCGCTCAGTCCAATCACAGAGGCGGAGGCAGCAGAAGTGCGCAAGCAAGGCTCCGAGGAGTTAGAGAAGTTGGACGAGTCAGACGAAAGCTCAGATCCCCAACCAGAAGGGCTCGACGCCAAGACGACTTCAAGCACAAATACCGCCGAAGCTTCAGCCGGCGAGGTTGAGTCCAGCAGTGATGTCCATGAACTAGACCCTGAAGTCCCAGCCACTCCTGAGCCCTCGGAATTCTTGGATTCTGGAAGCGCAGAGAGCGACGCAGACACGGAGGAGCCTTCGGCAGCGGCCGAGACCCTGGAGTCCGATCAGCTGGATCAGCCTCAGGTACGACCTGAGGCACCGCTCTTGAGCTCCACGGACTCCATGGGCTCCACGGACTCCATGGACTCCACGGACTCCACAGCCCACAGTCGCATCACTCACTCAAGCATCTCAAGGTCAGACAGGTCAGACATCTCAGACAGTCCCGGCACTGCAAAGTCGAAGCCCATGTCCAACGCAGGCTGGGTTTTCGGCCAGGCAGCCAGCACCTTGACGAACAACCAGGAAGTAGACCAGGGCATTCAGAGTACAACTTTCGAGTTGAGCCGAGTGGATGCCCTTGGAGCTTCGGCAGGCTCCCTCACCTTGGCTCAGAGTGAACAAGAGCAAGAGCGCTTGGCCAGCGCAAAGGAGAATCTTTGCGCGTTGTGGCACTCCATGTGCAGGCGTGTCACCACTGCGGAGGTGTGTGTCAAGTACGCGAGCATCTGCCACTGAACGCGTGGCCGGACTGTAGAATCTGTAGGCGGTTTGAAAGGGAGTCAGGCCGGCCCATCCCCAGTACCGTACAGGAAACCAGTTTTGCCTCCAGTTCAATCTGGTGGGTCTTCCGTTATGGCGCATGTTATGCAAATGTAATCCGCGCCAATCTCGTTTGCATCTTGCACCAAAGGTGCTGGATGAAGTTAGCTCGATCGCCGCGATGTCGGTATGGTCCACGACTAAACTACACGACTCATACTGCTGCCAGAGTTCTGAGTTTCGGCCATAGGGTATTCATTTGTATTTGGGTTAGTATTGCGAGATGCGCGTGCATGAGTGCATGCGCGCCATTTTTGTTTGCATACATTTGGGATAGCAAAACTTTCGCGCAGCCTGATGTCAGGCCGAGATCATTCGTCCGACTCTGACTATAGTAGGCACTCTTCGTGCTGGCCAGCGAAGTCTCTCTCATGTGGTCACCAGCATATTTTGAGATTTTGGTTCTGGAAAGTCGATCTGGGAAGTGAACCGCCGACAGGTCGAGATCTCGGAGATCTCGACATAAGAAAGAGATTTCAGGCTGCAACAAGGTACACAAGCCGTTGCTAAGATTGTGCGCTGTCCCTTCCCTCGCGCTTCATACTTGACACCAAGGAAAGACCGACAGCCCCCTAGAACCCGTGCTTTGGATGCAGAAAGGCTATGCATGGAGACATGGGATATTGGACGATGCATGGAAAGCAGCGGAAATTTGATGCTGAACAGCCGGGAGAGTGCCTCTGAATGTTAAAGTTAACAGGAAGGCTTGGTGAAGGCAATCCGGGCTTGGGGAGTGGAGGGGAGGCGGGGTATGCGGGGTGTTGATTTCGATTAGAGTGACGAGAGGTCCTCTGGATTGCAGCTCCTCCGGATTGCAGCTCTTCCGCGACAGTCCTCAAAGCCCTCCCAAACAGTCGTGCGACACATTTCGTCCTTGTGCTGCCATCTGCACTAGCTTTCCTGCCAACTCCTCGTGGATCTAGATTTGGTCCACACGCTGCGCAATGTGCCCATGACTTCAAAGTAAATCGTTTGCGGCGCCACGGACACAGCGAAGGAGGAGTTGTGCCTGTAGCACCGGACAAGCATTTTCACAGCTGTGCTGCCCGCCAGGCCTGCCATGCCTGCCGAGATTTCTGTGAGAGCTACCGCAAAACTACCCACTGTTATCCCCCGTAGCGAGCGGCAACTCGATGCATAGCAAAAGATAGCAGGACTTTGTACTTGTCGGCATTGGGATGCTGATCTTGTTGAAATATGGCTCGTTGTATTCGTTCGTCAGTGCTACTAGCTCTGTGCGCCTGCACGATAAGGCAACAGTGGTCAACAGGCTTCGCGACTTCCTGAGTTTTGTGCAGCCAGAAGGAGAGAGAGAGAGAGAGAGAGAGAGAGAGAGAGAGAGAGAGAGAGAGAGAGAGAGAGAGAGAGACACACACACACACACACACACACACACGCACCCACGCACGCACGCACGCACGCACGCACGCACGCACGCACGCACGCACACGCACGCACGCACGCACGCACGCACGCACGCACGCACGCACGCACGCACGCACGCACGCACGCACGCACGCACGCACGCACACACGCACACGCACACATGCGCACATGCGCACACACACACACACAGGCCTGTCCGGAAGTTCTCTAAGGCGGAGCAGAGATGCCGCCGAGGTCGAACGAGCAGTCCATGAGTGTTGTTTTGCTCAGAGCGATGCAAGCGCAGAAGCCACACCCAAGCAGAGATTGAAACAACTGCTCCGCTCAGGCAAGAGTTAGAACTCTGGCTTTGCGGCACGTACCCTAGCGGTGCCTTTACCTTCAGGGGGGGTTGAGATGTGTTGTGAGAATTTGCGAGATCTTGTCCGATGACTATTTGAACGTCTTTGTGACTGAGGCCTGCTGTGGTAAAACCGGCACTCGCTCCCGCAAAAACAGCAGCAGCCAGGGCCCCAAGCACATTTTTGCAGGGGCCATGCTGCACCATACTATGTATGCTCATGACTTCATGGTGATGCGCGGGCGTGTGCAGATGTCACGTTATCAGGACTTGGCCAAGGAAAAGGCAGAGTTCGAGGAATTCTGCAAGGTTGGGGCTGTTTCTCCAGATCCATTGATGCATGTGGTTGCCAATCAGACCCATTAACCTACCTAGCTTCGCAAGATGCCGATAGTGCACAGTGCCCAGCCTCCTCGGCCTCTCGCCCTCGTCTCCCATTTGGTTCAAGCGGTAGATACACTGTAGATGTGCCGGCAAAATGTGGCAAAATATCGCTCAACTGATTAGACAGCTTTCGGTCAAGCTCAGACTGCGGGTGTGATCGCCATGCGGCCGATTCCAGAGCAGCCACTATCAGAAGCTCACCAACTTGTGCTGCAAGCCTTCCAGAGTGTGTTTGCAGAGGACGAGACTGTGGTTGGCCATCCGGCTGTACTGAGAAGGTAAACCGGTAAACCGTTAACCCTCATTCCGTGACGACTCGTTCGAGATGAACCCGGTTTCCGTTGCATTTGATTTGGGGTCATGACTGCGAGTCTGAGATTCTTGGTGAGGACTTGGGACAGGCTTGGAGACATCCTTGAACATGTGTCCGCACGTTGGCGTCTCTAAGGAAAGAACGTGATTCGCCAAGTGTTGGTGGAGGTGGGTGTCGCGGAGGAGCCAGGGCTCAAATGGTTTATCATGGGCTTCAATCCCTGTGCCATCTGTTGGACGGCTGAACTTCGCACAAGATCGGGCCAATATAGTAATATCGGGGCAGTTCCTCAATTTGTGCGTGCATCCCATGACAGGATGAGGCGGACACCATGCTCGCACTCGTCAACACAGGCAGTGACAAGGTGTGCTACCGCGAGTTCTTCCAGTTCATGTTTCAGGAACAGGCCTGCCACGTGAGTACTGTCATGCAGCAGCATGCAGCGAGCACAGAGTTTCGCATTCTGAAAATTCTGTTTCGAGGGCTGTTGCACTTCGCATCCACTGTACTGTCGAGGAAGCCATCATGCCTCCGCTGAGACGCAAAGTGCTCCTTGGCTGGATGTAGGATGTGGCTGGCCATGTCGCTAGGCTGTGCTTCGCTGGACGTCGATTGAATGGTAGCCAATTAGCGCATGGTCCTGGTCATTCAAGCTACATTTGCTTCTTTCCATGGGATTCATGATGTGAACTGAGGTCCAAGCAGGTGCCTTGAACAGCAGATTCTGATGAGGGACTGGCCGGACTGGCCATAGTGAGAGACATTCCAGCGAAATCTGTCTCAGGTTGAAGAGCCTTTTCTTTGCAGTTACTTCCGGCGCGTTTTTGAGACGATCGGTGGCACGAAAAAAGACGGTGGAGAGAGCGGACTCACCAAGACGCAGCTGAGGGAGGCAGGACAGATCAGAACAGCCTGTTCTGCGCGCTGTCTGCGCACTCTTTGCGCATTGTTTGCATGAGCACGTGAGCCAAGTCGAGGCCTTGGAAGGCTTTGAGATGAGCCTCCCTGGCATTAACACCCAGATCGAAGATGTGGTCGCTGCTTCGCAGCATTGCGCTTGCTGCTTTTTCCTGCGTTCCGCGCTTGCCTTGCCAAGCTGTGAGATGTTGTGAGGCTCGCATCTTCGAGGAAATCGACCACAACGGCGACAGCGAAATATGCTGGAACGATTTTCAGAAGTGGCTACTTCGCTGGAACGTCCCTCACGACGACAGCGAAGATGCGGCCAGATCCTTGTTCACGTTTCTCGACCGAGACGGAAGCGGTCGCATTGATGCACAAGAGATGATGGACGCACTGATGCTGTTGAGCGAGTTTGAATCCAAGCTTGATGGATCACTGAGCGTGGCCAGGCTGCTTAAGTCGACCACCTTACTGCAAAAATTGTACTGGATTCTACGTGTTGCCCAGGGTTGAGCAAGAGCTGGATCTAAGGTCACCCATGCTGAAGCAGGCCAGATCATTCGCGACCTGGACCCAGATGGAGAAGGAGGAATTGATTACCACACCTTTCTGGAAGTGCTGCACGCTGCGCGAAGCGGCAAGCCTGACAGCTCGAACCGACCGCCGCACCTGGTATTAAACTTCGACGTCAACAACACAGTGGTCATGCTGGACTCAGCCACCGGCGCGGATTCCAAGGGGCTCATATCCATGGTGCTCTCGAACTCTGCCTGGGGCGTGATCGACTTTGAAGAGGGAAAGCCGGAAAAGCCGGGAAAACCGACTCAGTGGTCGGTGAAGGCACCAGAGCTGTCCCCAACGTGCCCTGAGACAGGTCTTCGAACGTACTCCGAGTTCGTTGTGTTGCAGAACCCATTCCCAGACTCGGCTGCCTTCACGGACAAGGCTGAACTTCGAGCTGCGGTTGAGGGAGTGAAGGCAAGTCGCCGGAAAGCCCTGTGGTCTTTCACAGATCCCGGCATGCCTGGAGAGGCCTCGATGTTTGCACTATTTTGATTGCAACATTGCAACGAGTGGGTTGCGCACGAAACTCTTAAGCAGGCTTTGCTTGACTTGTCATTGTATTGAACAATGGTAGTTGTACAAGCCAACCCAGATGGACATGATTGGATTTAGCTGAAGTATGAATCCAAGATCGGGGAATGCACCCATCATAGACACAGCACCTCTTTTATCTTTTGCTTCTGTCTCAAGGTCACTATAGGGCATCCTCGAAACAGTGTTGTTTAAGTGCTGCAGCTTGGGAAGACAAGGTGGACCTCAATATCTTGAACTAGGACTCAGATAAGATGATTAGAGCATGGTTTCGTTCCTATTGGACCTGCATTGTGTCTGTGTGTTCCTTCGCACCTTCACACTGTGCCCAAGAATATGGGCATCGTCCAACTGCTGTATCTTGCGTTCGGTTGGGTGACGTACTGGCCGCACTGGCGCTCGCCGCTAGTCTCGCTAGACGTGTTTGCCTCGCAAATACCGCTGCCCCATGTTTGCATTATCTGCACAAGTAGGGAAGCACATGTAGGAGGTCCTGAAAATACAACGATTACACATGCACGACGATGTTCCTTTCTGGCCTGAAAAGTTAAGACTTGAAGAGTCGTAGCAGGCTGGAAATTCAGTAAATTTGAAAGTGAGGTTGATGCCTTCTGGGGTTCACTGAGTTCACCTCTCAAAATTGCCATAAGTAGAGCTCTTTTGACTTTGTAAGCAGTGCTTTCAAGACACGCTGAAGGCCTTCCAGCAAGATCTGGCCAAGATGCAGGAGCAGCTGCTTCTGCCTGAAGAAGTCCGAGGCACACAGCCTGCAAAAGATGCAGGTCTGGGCGGGCAGTCGGTGCAACTCCTTCCTTCATTCCTGCATTTGCTGCGACTGCCAGCTGAAGTGGGCCTAGATTCGATTTTGTTTTTCGTAGAATAGAGTATAGTAGAATAAAGCCTCATACAAGCTCAGAAGTATTCCCAGCTTTCAAGGAGAGCTGAAGCGAAAGGGGAGAAGTTTCACGTTGATCTTTCGCACCTTTGGCCAAGATCTCCCACAGCTGCGCCAGGAGACACGGCTAGACTGGATGGTTCTAGTAGCAGCATATGCCCGCATAGCTTCAGTGGCTGTTTTGCGGGCTGAGGAGGTGGAGGCCCTTTGCGAAGGATGGCACCCCCTATTCCAGAAGGAAGACGTCGTCGTCTTGGACGGGTCGGCTGCCTTGCAGCAGCCCATCAGGTTTGGTTCAATTGGCTCCTGAGCTGCGAGAATGGCGAAGAATGAGTCTCTCGCACACCTGCCAGGATGGACAGGCAGACTACCGCATGAGCTTCGACACAACGAATGGGTGCGGAACGTTCTTCCGCAACCCTTTGGAAGGTGACCTAATCGTCGGGCGCTGAAGGGTGGAACATGTTGGAATTGAACCGAGTTGGTTGCACTTGCACATCAGCAACATGCCTGAGACATGTTTCTCTGGGTGCTGGAACATAGATGCAGTAGATGAGGCACTGGCAATGGGGACTGTGCAGCAGCCAAAGAAACTGGAGGAGGGCCTTGAGTTCTGGAAGGACAAAGAAGGTGTTCAGATGTTCGAAGGCCCAGATTGCACTGTTCTTTAGGCATGCTTGTGTGCTCAACGTGTGCATTGCCACTCTGCGGTCACTGCAAGGGGTGCATCAAGTCTTCAAACACTACACGGAACTCTCCTCCAAATGCTGCACGGTGGCGCTTCGCGACTTTTACCCGGGTGACCTGGCATGATGTTTGCTTCCGATTGCGTATCGAAGGCCGAGGGTATCCTGCTAGCTAGATAAATTTGGGGGTATCCGGAAGACTGCGGAGATTTTGGTCGGGGACCCTGGAAAGAGAATACGCTCTCACGGTCTTGACAACAACAACAACAACAAGTCTTTAGGGCTTAGGGTTTAGGGTTGGAAGCTTCGAGAGAGCCCTGCTGCAAAAAAGGTTTTTAGGGCTTGCGGTTTAGATCTTTCAAGAGTTCTAGTTCGTATGTCTCTTCAATCAGGTTTCCGAGTCAGGACCCAGTAGCTGATGATTGGCTGCATCGTTCAGTCACACAAGCTGAGCACAAACCGGGCGAGAAGTGTTTGGACAAGGCTGCTGCAAAAGAGCTGCTGTTTTTAGCTTAGGGTGAAGGGCTTAGGGCGTTGCGTTAAGGCTTAAGGGCTTAGGAGGGCTTTTGAGTTTAGGGGGTTACGGGTTTAGGTCCCGAAGCCTGACTCAGATTCAAAGAGGACCCTGAACCTTCAACCCATTCAACCCCAAACCCTCAAGTGATGTTAGGTCTGATTGTGTCGATAGACTGGGTGTCGACGGGTCCAAATACACTCGCATGTGTTCGGTGTATCCTGTTGTAGACTAGTTCGCTTCTGTCATTCTTGTCTGATTGCGTGTCTGATTGCGTGCGTGGGTGGGTGGGTGGGTGGGTGTGTGTGTGTGTGTGGCCTTTCGCCGGAGCCTACTCGCGTGTGCCATTGTGAGGGTCGTGCGGATCGCAGTCAAAAACAAGCACCAAAAACCTACACAAGCTCCAAGAAAAACGAACAGAGTGCAAATGCAACTAGACGGTTCTTGGAGCTTTCAGGATTTTGGGGTTCGTAGATTATTGATGACCCGTTTAGGGTGCTTAGGTTCTTCAGGTTTGTTAAGACTTTAAGGGCCAGGAATTTAGGGTTTCTTGTTTAGGGTTTTGGAGTTTGCGGACCCTTAATATTTTTGTTTAACGAGGCTTTACGGGCTCAGAATTTTTAAGGTTTGGATTTTAGGGTTTAGGGTTCTTAGGTTTGAAGGGTTGTCTGGGTGTGCGTACGGTTTAGGGCCTGTAGGCTTTGGTGTTTTTTAGGGGTTGGGGGGCCTTAATCAGATCTTGGGTCTTTGAGCTTTAGGAGTTTAGGATTCCGTGCTTTATGTTTAGTTCTTGTGAGTTCTTTTTTGCTTCATGGTTTAGGGTTTGTAACACCTCAGATTTGTGGTTTTGGGTCGATAAGGCTTTGAGGGTTCAAGGTGCATGAATTTAGCGCTTGGGGCTTCGGTTTTAGATCGGGGATTGTAGAGTGGTCAGAGTTTGGGGTTTGGGCTTTGTGGGCATGTGATTATTGATTAGGGTCATTTCCGGCCAGGACATCACAGCCCGGATGCAACAAAAAGAGTCTTTGAAGTTAAAAATCTGGGTTTCGTGCTTAGGGGTGGAGGGTTTGGAGGGGTTTGCACTGTTTGTGTTTGAAGGCTTTAGACTTTGTTGTTGTTTTGGGCCCTTGGTGTCGTTAGGGTTTTCGGGCTCCATGTAAGGTTGAGTTCTTTTTATATATTTTTTCGGGTGGTACTGGTTCAGAGTGTTGTCGTTTCGTCGATTCGGGGTCTTTGTCTTTAGGGCTTTTCGGGTTTTAGGGTTGCGCGTTTAGGGTTTTGAGGGGTTTGGGTTTGAGAGCGAAGGTTGTTCAAACGTTCTTTGGGCTGTTAGGGTTTAAGGGGAGGGCATAGACTTTCGGGTCTAGTGTTTGCACGTTTTCTTTTTCTTGGGGGTCGGGAGGAGGGCGGGGGAGTCAGGGTAACAGGGGCCTTGGGTTTTTTGCGGGCTTTGACGGGCTTTCAGGGCGTTTAGACTTAAAACCTTCAACTTAATCTTTAAAGTTCAACCTCAACTTGGGGCTTGTAGGCCTTCAATTGTGTTTTTGGGTTTCGTGGCTTTAGGATTTTTCAGGTTTAGGGTGTTGTGAGTTTTCAGGGCTTTGAGGGTTTTGCATCAGGTTGGACGGGTTTGAGAGGGTTTTGAGAAGGCTTTGAGAGGGTTTTCCGGGCTTGACGGTTTTCAGCGTTTTAGGCCCTGGGGGGTTTGGGACTTGTAGGCTCTTGATTAGTTTCATGGTTTGGTGTCTTTGGGGTTTCTCGGGTTTTCAGCGTTCTCAATCTTAAAGTTTTCTTTTTTAAGGGTTTGTTTTATTCGGCTTTGTGGGCTTTCAGATTGCGTTTGTAGGCGTTTTGGGTTTCGGGTTTCGGGTTTGGGGCTGTGTGTATAAAACAATAAAACAGCTGAGATCAGATCAGAGAGTCGAATCAGATCGACAGTATTTCGGGCTGGGGCTTTGGAGCCATCAGGCAACTCTCAGAAACTGTCGGCTCCAGAGCCCCAGAGCGAAACAGCGAAACACTGTTGATCTGATTTGACTCGACCAAACCTGATCTAATCTGATCGCAGCTGAGCGGCGTGCAATGCTGTGGTAACCTGGTCTGATCTGTCTTTTCAGTAGCCATGTCCGACTCGTGTTCAGTATCTACGCTAGGCGGCTGCGCTGTGCCTTTGCCGTGTTCTCATGGTGATGCCATGCAAGTTGTCGTGGATCTGTTCTTGTTTAATGCAGAGATTTTGGTCTTGGTGCCTGCTTTTTGCTTTTGGTGCGTGGTATGCATTATTTGCGACCGGGTCGTGTTCGCTACTGAAGGAAGAAGTCCTTTTTCCGACTGTCGCTAGTTTAGCTACGTATGCTCCGTGTACGAGAGGCGGATCAGGAGCTCGTCGACCCGTCAACCCCCAAAAGTAGTATTAAGAACATTGTTAAAGATGCCCCTGATACTAAGTTAAGCGGCACAACATTGTTGTTGTCATTACCGCTACAGTTGGGCTGCATCGTATGTTTCACGGACTGACGCGTCGAGGTTGGTATCATGCCATGTCAAACTAGCTAGACTAGCTGGCTGCTGGTAGGTGGTTTTGCGTGCAGGGTAATATCAGTACGACGAACACCCATCCCGGCATGGCAACGCCTGTTCTGCGAGCACGTCCTTCCCCGAAACCAGTCTGGTTTCCCACTCCGGGGGGGCGGGTTTGCGCGCAAGTGTTGTAGCGACTAGAGACTTGGCGAGGATGGGCGGCAGCCAATTCAACATCCGCTGGTGGAAAGCCCTTCTTCCTGGGCAGACTCGACCCGGCTCAGCATTGCATCTTCTTTGACGACCACATCTCCCCGCTCGACCCAAAAATTGTGGTCGCTTGCATGGAAGTCCCTTCTGACAAGTTCCCTACACTTCCCTACTGTCCGATGAGGCCCTACAGTGTGACGTCCCTAAGACGAGTCGTGCGAGTCAGCCTGAAATTTTTGAGAAGTGCCTCTCCGCGCTTCCGCATCCCAAGGATCCGATCGATGCACACTTGTGGCCACGAAGGTTCAGCAGCGGTCAGGTCTACGGTGTCCACTTGGTACAAGCTCAGCCCTTGCTTTCAATTCGTGACAGGAGCTCTCTCTTTTTCAAGGGTTTCCTGCATCATTTGCAATCATTCGCCTCTGCTCCGTGTTGCAGACCTCCAAGTCCCTCCAGGAACTACTTCGTCAAATGCATCGAGGATTGCGAGACGGCGAGGGCCGCCAAGCTGGAGCGCTGGCACAAGCTGAAGCGCATGGTGGGAGATCTGGACGGAGTCCGCAAGGCATCGGCCCCAGCCAAGTATTTCCACATGACCAGAGTACACGATCGCGCTTGTGGCCCAGGTCCTCGCGGGCTTCATATACACATCAGTTCCGAGCCAGAAAGTGGTTTTCAGACCCTGGAGCTCGAGCCGCGATGTGGTTCGTGCCCAAAGAGTACCTACCTTCGAGGAGCGCTCGTGAAATGCGGTCCACATCACTAGATCATGCCAGGCCCAGTCATTCAGCAATGCTGCGTTGCAAGTGTCCGCGCGCAGGATGTCTAACGCCTGTGTCTCTGATGGTGCCGCTCACCGCTCTCGAGTCCAACGGCCATGCTGGTATAACATTGTTGCTGATAGGTATGGTCCGGTCCGGTACTGTACAGTAGGATACACGCAAGTACAATAACAATCTCAACATTATGCCAGCCCATTGATTCTCAGATGCTTTCGCATCAGACACTTGGAATTTACGCGCACAAGTACCAAGAAACTTGGTTTCCAGTTTTTTGCGATCTGTTTCCAAGAGGGAGCATGGGAGTAAAGACCCCAACAAAACTGTGGGGCAGTTCGACGGCCTGGCGAAAGCCATAGGTGGTTCCTGGAATTACGGGAGCTGCACCGCATGGCTCCGCATGGCTATGTCGGGCATCAGTAGGCGAGCTGAGCGATACCAGCTCTGAGATTGTTTTCCAACCATGACATGCGGGTTGCTTTCACTGAGGGTCCCTGGCCGAGAGCTTCGTAACAAGGAATGTAAAGCAACTACCTACAAGGGGACCTGGTTTCATTGAAGCAACCCCTAGATGCATCCGGCAACTTCGAAGAAGCTGCTAGAGTCGAGAATCATCATACTAGAACGCAAGTAAACTTGTCCGTGTCCAGCTTTTGAATATAGACCTAGACGTGCCCAGCAGGCGTATGGTACTACATCTAGCCTAGTTGATGCTGCCGAGGGCGTCGCCTCGATATTTTCTCGAGCTGTTGTGTTCTTGCGCTTGGTTTGGTTCTGCTGACGAGAACCACTCTTTTCGTGATGCCGAATTGCTTTTTCCTGCTGCACCAGTCGTTTCGAAGTTGATGTGTTAGCCTTTTGCTTCTTGGCTTGCTGCCTCGTGGGCTCCTCGGCATTTCTTGCTGATGTGTGTGGTGTAGAAGTTAACGTTGCGGTTCCACGTGTGTCGTCATGGGTCTTCTCTTTTCCGAGCAGCTGGATATCCTCTGTCAGAATGAATGCTATCTCCACTCGTTGCAAAACATAACGACAAAGTGTAGTCGGTAGCCTGCTTACTCACCCGCAGGCCCAAGCGATGATGCAAGAGCGGGCGCTGGTTCCATCTGCGAGAAGCTTTGTGCAAGCTGGTGGGACAGTCCTGTGGAGTGGAGCATTTGAGCCAGGGATAAGTTTAATCAGGGCTTCCCCCTGAACCTCCCTTACAAATGTCAACCTCTTTTTGACCCTCAGGCTGACCCGGCAAAGCCATCTCCCGTGCTGGCGCCTGATCCTGAGACAAACAACACGCAAACAACCTTTTTTCCAAGTCAGTCTTCTGTTACATGTGGTCACTAAGCTGAACTTAGCATAATGTTTTGTACTTCCGGCTTTGTGCTTTGGGTTTTGACAGCTTAACTGTGCAAGGCTACGGGGGGACGGCGCAGACAATGGATCTAGAGCAGGATAGAGCGAAACTGTGGTGGACACGAGCACGAGCGTCAACATAGGATGATTTTTAATGCTCTTGATGGTCGAAAAAGTTTGGAGGGGCCGTCAAAACATTGGCCTCACAGAGAAACCAACCATCGGCTAGTATTAAAAAGTGCGGGTTGCATGGGCCACTTTGGCAAAATTCGTTGATCTTCGTAGTGTGTCAGTTGTTTGTTTTAGATCCTGGTGGCTTGCAGATACAGAGAAGGGCAGGGGCCACGAACTCATGACGATGCAGCAGTGGTCGTACTGATTCAGAAGGCTGGGCAACTTTGGCGGTCGTGCCGCCGGCCAGGGCGCTCCGGGTCAGAATGACCAGCCTGCACCTCAGAGTGTGCCTTTCGCACAAGGATTTCGGCCGATAGGCCTCCCTCCTTCGCATCTGCCTGCGGTTGTTCTCCAAGGATATCCCTGTTCTGTAGAGCCAGTGGCTGGAAACTCAGAGCATCATCCGCCATGACTCATGACTGCATGCAATGACTGCATGCAGACATCTGCAGACTGTACCCTTAGGAGTGGACCAGCGAGCCGAGATCAGCTTGCGGGGTCTGCCAGCATCTGTCTGAGCTACAGCGGCCCTGCATGGCCCTGCATGACCCTGCATGGCCCTGCTGTTTTCAGTGCGGAGTTGCTGTGGCCATTTGTGGAGGTCCACTTGGCTGCGGAAATCATGGCTGGAGGGCACGCCAAGACTGGCTGAACCGAGCATGCGATCATTGAACGTTCAGATATTGCTGACTGTTGCAGCTGACAGCACGCCAGGCCCCTTCTCGGTGTCAACAGTTCGGCTGTCTTGATGGCACAAATTCACAAGGCCTGCGCACATTTTATCATCGCACTGTTTGTTGGGCATACGTTTCTAGCATGTGCATAAACTCAAGGCAGATCTGTAAATGGCTCATCTGTGCCTGAAGGCAGAGGCGTTGAGCATGGACCCTGGATTCATGCAAAGCTGAAAGATGGGACGGTGCATGTCGAAGGCTTTGGGTAAACAAGTTGTGCTGGTACACTTGCTGAGGCCGTACCAAGAATCTGTCTCTTGGCAACACTGCAGCCGTCCAGGCTGCCCAAGCTGCCGGGTGAGCCCTCCCTCCATTAGCTTCTTCTGCAGTTTTTGTTTCTTTTGACCATGCTTCCCTGATTGTTCACGGATCGGGTTGATACAGAGCCCCACATCCATCGTCTGATAGCTCCTTGGCTCAGCTAAATCAAAGCCTACCCGGCACTGTTACGGCAGCGTGACTTGGCTGCAGTCGTTGGGCACCTTGGTATTCGGACGAGCTGCATTGACAATTTGTTGAGTCTTCGGACTACATCTTTCAAAGCTAGCGTAAAGGTTTGTCAGCGGAAGCTCGGGGCGTTTGTGCTCAAGTTTTAGTGGAAAAGGTTCAGGTGCTGTGTTGTATAGGATCACGTTTGTAAGTCAGTCCGTTTTGGTATATCGCTTGGGGCACAGCCCGGGGTTTCTCCAAAGGTGGCCAGGCCGAGGAACACCGAGGAACACGCCATCCCTCCCCAGATCACAAAAAACGCGCAGAAATTCTTTAAAGCTCTCTGTTTGGCAAGAAAAGGCCTACATTGAACATGAGTTACTGGAAACGGCGGGAGAGCGGTTTTTCCGAGCGGTACACTGAGGTGCACATTTGGGGGGGTCCTTGGGCCCACGAGGCGAATTTGTTCCCGAGCCTCAGGTCTCCGGTCTTCTCAAAGTTTCGAAGCGATCATCGGCGATCATGCTGAGGCCTGTGAGGGATGTGTGTTCTGGAGTTGCTCGGCATGAAAAACTCAGGCGGTTCTCAGTGCCAGGCTGATGAAGTCGTTGCCACTTCTAGCCTTGGTAACCGCCACCTACGCTATTCGTGATGATGTTGACGAGCACTGGCTGAATCTCCATGCCGCGTCCTGAGGTCAACGAGAAACGTTCCACATTCATGCGTAGATAGTCGGGCCAGACATCAAACGCTGAGCCTTTGCAGACAGTAGTCAGACAGTTGCGAGATTCAGGCGGAGTGTCGACAAAGAGCCTTTGTATTGTTGGCGGCTCAAGCCCTGCACTGATGCATGTTTGGGCTGGGAAGCAGCCTGCGGCATGTTGCATAGCAGATGCAGTGCTTTGTAGGTTGTCTCCGTGCCTGGCTTCACATTGAGAAGCCTGAGCGGAGTGCAAATCCAAGTCTACGCATCGTGACCGCGAATGATGTCTACAAGCCCGAGCGGCTGGCTTTGGTTCGTACTGCTGCACGGGCGGCTGGAGCCACAGGCGCACCTGTCAAGCTGGTTCTGCCCGGCGATTTGCTTGGCGGCTCCTTGTATGCCAGTGAACATTTGGGAGAGTCCACCATTGACATCTTGAATTCCATGAGTGTCAACTACTGCGTTTTGGGCAATCACGAGTTCGACTATGGCGAAGCGCGCCTACGTGAGCTCATGAACATGTCCCAGTTTTCATGGCTTGGCTCCAACGTTCGGGACCTTGACTCGCAGTCCATCTTTCACACGACTCTGGATTCCGATGCGTTCTGGATACAGTCCCGTGATGGACCTGTGCAGGTTGGTGTGTTTGGCTTGTGTACCTCTGCAACCCCTCAGCTTTCAGACCCGGGCAAAAACATCAGCTTCGAAGATCCCACCCTGCATGCAACCAGGCGCCGAGTCCAATGCATGCGACTGCACGAAAGATTTGAGAAGGCATTTTGAGAGCCTGTGCCACTGCCGTATCGCCACTAGCTGCGGTTCTTGAATTGTGCCTCTAAAGTTTTGGACCTTTATCTCATGTCGGCGGTTGCCCTATGTTGCACTCGGTGGATATGTCGAAAGGGCTGTTCATGGCAATTCCTGGAAGGTGTGTGCACGCACTGCAGAAGCGTGGCTGTGAAGTCATCGTTGCCCTGACGCACTTGAGCCTCTACCAAGACAAGCAGCTGGCCGAATCATGCGCTGGCATCCATGTCATCTTGGGAGGCAGCGCCCACGAACTCTCATCCTAACATATCCTAACGGTTCTGTCTAGTCGATCCTTCATCAGGTGTAAGGAATTGATTCTGCCTGCCATTAGAACCTCTCTGGGATCTTGCAAGGCCATGATCATGACCCTTATTTCTTGATTCACCACGGCGTGCTCATTGCCAAATGTGGCCAGAATGCTGTTCCTTTCTCTGGTTTTGAGCATGCTTCTCTCTTGCCATAAGAGGATGTTGAAGGCAGACGCCGCTCAAGGCGCAGGGCTCATGAGATGAAGCCCTGGTTCCACCATGCTCCACCATGTTCCACCACTGGCCTCGGATTCAGCAACCAGATTCACCCATCAAGGATTGTCAACCCTCGGCCCCTCCCATATCACCTACCCTGCCCACCCAGCCCTCCCCTACACTTTAACCCCGCCCAAGGCCTTGGGAGGTGTACTTGACTCCATGATTCCTTAGAGGGTTTGGTTTTGGTTGCGGGGTCAGAGGTTACTAGTGCCAACGGCCTGTTGTGCCCCAGCAGATGGCTCAGGATCACGTCGGAATACTGGATTTGTATGTGGATCGAGCTGCGACTGGCTTGGAGCTGCGGCACTCCTTCCACTTCCAAAGTACATCGGCTGTTCAAGAGGATCCTTTAGTGGCAAAAGTGGCGGCAAGGTGGAAGAAATCGGCCACAAGTGGCGAGGACGACTAGTGACTAGTAGCAGCAAAAATCTTCGAGGAGGTGTTTTTGGTTTGTGCTGCTTAGTGACTGGAAGACATTTTACTAGGTTGAACCCAACCAAGTAGAGGAAGAGCTCTGCACCGTGGGATCCTCATTATCCAGTCGGACACAAGAGCTTCGCTCCACGGAAAATGCCTTCGGCTGCTTGGTTGCGGATGCAATGCTGTGGGCCTGCCGTCCACACGGCTGCCACGTGGCGATTGTGAACGGTGGCTTCATCCGACAGGAGTTCAGTGCATGTCTGCCACGCGTGCATATTCAAGATGGAACCGGCTTTGTTAACATGCGCCCAGGACAACGTGTACCCTGCGCACTCCGCTTTGACAGCTCTGCAGGCAACATAATGACATAGAGATTGGTAAGGATATGTAGCTGCTTCCTTTGCCATCGAATCTGGCTGACTGAAGGTGAGCGAGGAGTTGCCCTTCGCGGAGTGCCCGGCAGTGGTACGCATGACAGGCCATGACCTACGCTATGCTTTGGAGGACTTGACCTGATGTGTCCTGTGTCATTCACACTCCCTTCAACATCCAGTCTGCCCTCGAAATACCTCCAGGAGATGCTTCGGTCAGCTCCGACTCCAGTGGGCTGCTTCCCTCATCTGTCAGCTGGTATTTTGGCAGCGGCGTATGAACGAATGATCGTGAGCGTTCAGCACCCGATGCACAAGACGTGAGTCTGAGCTTCAGCTAAGTCTGTGTTCTGTCAAGATCTGTGAAGGCATGCGCGTGAGCTACGATCCCCATGCTCCGCCGATGGGACGAGTAAGAGGCGCCGCAGACAAAAGCATCTCTGATTGTTTAATAGTGCAAAGCAGATTGCATAGATCAAGTCTGCATACATCTCTGCAGGCTTGGAGGTGGAAGGTCAAACAGTTGACCCGGACGGTGAGTACCTGGTGGCCATAAATCGCCTGTTCAGCGAAGTTGCGGCCGATGGGGTAGAGACGTTTTGCAAGAGCGAGCGCGTCTACACCCACCACCAATTATTTCGAGATGTGGTCGTGGACTATTTGCGCGAGCGCAGGCATGTTAGTGGAGAACTGCCGAGGCGTTTGGTCCCGGCATCGGGTCCCTGAACGAAATCCTGACGAGCAGCAGGTCTCCCTGATTCCGAGCGACAGCTTTCCAAGTGTCTGGCTATCGTAGCTTGTAGTCCAGCCGGCATTCACCAGCTGGTCGGGCCGTTGCAATCAGGAGAGAAAGGCATGGGAGTGATTGCACGTGTGGTTGTATGACATGGCTGTAGGTGTGGGGATGTTTGCAGGGATTTCAGCACGAGTCTGTTCGCACCATGGCCATGTGAGTACACGGAGCGTGGCTTGTCTCAGGAAAATGGCCACAGGCCAGCCGCCTTGATGCAGCTGTATGAGGAGGCACAGGGCAACAACGCATGCTTACCACCGAATGATGGGCAGCTTGTGTTGCAAGTCGGCTCCGCAATGGAAGGCAGATAGATCTCACAGATCATCGAGCCGCGCTCTTACAAGGGGGGTGCGTTCGTGTGCGTTCATCTCACATTCGCGCCATTGAGGAGACTTGTGTCGATACATGGCAGGCACTCGCAGCGGCAAAGGCAGGTATCCTGGCGGCTCAATTGTGTTCCCCTTTCTAGGTGTATACTATTTATGCTTCCCCTTCAGTTTTGCCGACAAGGGAAGCCTAGTTGAGACGTAGTCTGCAATCCTCTACTCTTCCTTGCAACTTGGTCTCAGGCACCATGCGGTATCACAGGCGGGACTCAGACGTTCTTACTGCTTCGATTGCGATGACAGCACCACGACTTGAGAGAAGCTCTGCAGGTACGCCATTCGGCCCACAGAAGACATCATGCTAGGAAGGAGTACCAGGGTGATGAGCCAGAGGATGGCAGCTACGAAGACAGACGACCCTCCCTCTCTGAGGACTTGTGGTCTCCCGAAGCAAAGGCTTCAGAGTATCCGCACGCCTTGAGACGTATCACAACGTCGCTCATTGCTTGATCACAGACGTACTCCATCGTCGCTCATTGCTTGATCATGAAAATGGAGAGCCTTCGAGGACTCAGCTGCAGACGGGCAAGACGACGAAGCAGAGGCAGATGACAACAGTCGACAGGAAGATGTTCGCTACGAAGACGAGCAGCAGGAAGCACGACTCTCGGAGCAGGGGGTGCAAGCAAGTTGGAGATCCGACTTGCACTCTGTGAGTATCTGAAGGCATTCAGTCAATAAGCATCACGCTGCAAAGGTGCCCCCGCCAGAGCGGCATGCTCACCGCTCCAAGAATGCCACCGCGGTCTGAATTCATTTTCTTGTCGTATACCAGACAGATGCCACAGATGCCATGTCTTCATATGTGCAACGTGTTTACAGTTGAAAAACGCGTCAGCGAGTGAGAAATGGTTGACCCGCTTAGCACCTCAGCCCCAGCAGTTGCTTCAGGCGCGGTCCTCTTCCAGCCATGCAGATTCTACGTCCGACTCGACGGAAGACTCTGCCAAGCCGCTGGCCAGAATACATCCGGGCTCAAGTGTTTGCCACAGGCAGCCAGCATGAACCTAAATTTCCGGGCCAGTTCCGGTATTTGCCAAAGGACACCCTGACTCCAACAGGGCTCCGAAGTAACACGGCCCATTGAATCGTGCCGCATCGCACTGTTCACGAAAGCAAGAAGTGTGAAGAAGCTCCTTTCCAAGCAGAATTAGTTCGCTAAAACTCTGCTTGGAAAGGAGCTAACCGTGAAGAGAACAACAGTATTATAATTGCAAACGAGTGAGCAAAGAGAACGAAGTGCGTGAATTCAGTAATGTTGTGAACGAAACCGCTAAATGCACCAAAATATACCACTTTTCTAGTATTTGTTCATGTGTCCTTTTCCCCCTTTATAATATTTAATGGCTACCGCCAGTGCCGCCGACCCCCTCCAAGGGGGGCCAAGGCACTGTGGGCTCCGGCCGCGGATTATGTATATATATATATATATAGATATATGCGCAGGGCTTGGTCAGGTTGTAGAGTTCAGGGGGGCGAAACATGGAGCCCTGATGCGCAGGGAACCGCAAACCCGAAACCCGCAACCCTGAAACCCCAAACCCCCAAACCCGAAACCCCCGTAACCAGGAGACTTGAACCTGAGGCCTCGACGTACACCCCAAACTCGAAACCACAAACCCGAACCCCTAAACCGCCGTGGCGGCGGAGACCATGGCGGAAGCGCCGGGCCGCCCAGTCAGGGTTTGGGATGCCGAGGAGGAGGGTTTGCAGATTTTCGGGGATAATGGAGGGTTGAGGCAGTCGAGACCTTGCAAGGCCTAGAGTTCAGGGTTTAGGGTTTAGGGTTCTGGCAAGCAATCCAAGCTCGTGGACATTCGCCACTTCCCAAAAATTCCGGAGCCAGCAGAACCCCTCCACCCTAAGATCCCCCGAACCCTAAAGCCTAAACCCTAACTCCCCTGGGCTAAACCCTGCATCCCGAAATGCTAGACCTCCCAGAAGCTGGAATCGGAAGATCCAAGGTTACCTGCAGGGGGGCGGGGTGCGTGGGTGGTGGGGGTAGAGCAAGCGGGCCAAGCGGGGGAGGTCGAGGGGATGGAGAGTGGGAGCATGGGTCAAGGGGGGAGTAGGCGGAGCTGGAAGGGCAGAGGGCGGAGCGGGCAGCGGGCGGAGGGGGCGGGCATGCACTGGGGCCCTTTAAAGTCAGCTGAGGATCCACATCCATGGGCCGTGGACCATGAGCCAATGGGGCCAGGAGCCATGGGTCCAGTGGGGGGCGGGGTGCATGGGGGGTGGGGGTGGGGGGGGTGGGGGCGGGGGTGGGGGTTGGGGGTGGGGGTGGAGCCATGGGGCCAGGAGCCATGGGTCCATGACAAGCGTGGGCGGCGGGGCAGGGTGCGTGCGGGGTGGGGGGGGTTGGGGGGTGAGGGGCCATTTCTCGGACCAGCATTGGCAGCCATGCAGGTCGAGGGATGAAGAATGGGACCAGGAGCCATGGGTCCATGAGAAGCATGGCGGGGTGCGTGGGGGGCTTGGGCAAGGGAGGGAGTATGCGGAGCGGGAAGGGCAGAGGTGGTGGGGGAGGGGCGGAGAAGCCACCTGCTTGGGCAGTGGACCATAATGAATGGGGTCCATGAGGGGCATGGGTGCGTGAGGGGTAAGGGGTAGGGAGCTGGGTATGAGGGGTAGGTCAAGGGGATGGAGAGTGGGAGCATGGGCCAGAGGGGAGTAGGCGGAGCTGGAAGGGCGGAGGGCGGAGCGGGCGGAGCGGGCGGAGGGCCCGGGCATGCGCTGGGGCCCTTTGAAGTCAGCTGAGAAATCCATGGGCCGTGGACCATGAGCCAATGGGGCCAGGAGCCATGGGTTCAGTGGGGGGCGGGGTGGGGGGTGGGGGTGGGGGTTGGAAGTGTGGGTGGGTGGGGGTGGTATGGGGGTGGGGGTTGGGGGCAGGGGCCTTTTCTAGGACCAGCATTGCCAGCCATGTAGGTGGAGGGATGAAGAATGGGACCAGGAGCCAATGGGGCCAGGAGCCATGGGTCCAGTGGGGGTGGGGGTGGAGCCATGACGCCAGGAGCAAGGGGCCCATGACAGGGCGGCGGGGCAGGGTGCGTGCGGGGGTGGGGGTGGAGCAGCTCAAGGGATGAAGAATGGGACCAGGAGTCATGGGTCCATGAAAAGCATGGCGGGGTGCGTGGGGGGCTTGGGCAAGGGGAATGTGTGCGGAGCGGGAAGGGCGGATGGGCGGGGAGCGGGTGCGTGGGTGGTGGGGGTAGGGGCGGAGGGGAGCCATGGGGCCAGGAGCCGGCGGCGGGGCATGAGGGGTAGGTCAAGGGGATGGAGAGTGGAGCATGGGCCAAAGGGGGTGGGGGGCAGGGTGTGTGCGGGGTGGGGGTGGGGGTTGGGGGTGGGGGTGGAGCAGGGCCATTTTTTTGACCAGCATTGGCAGCTATGCAGGTCGAGGAATGAAGAATGGGACCAGGAGCCATGGGTCCATGAGAAGCATGGCGGGGTGCGTGGGGGGCTTGGGCAAGGGGGGAGTATGCTAGGACCAGCATTGGCAGCCATGCAGGTCGAGGGATAAAGAATGGGACCAGGAGTCATGGGGGGCTTGGGCAAGGGGAGAGCGGGAAGGGCGGATGTGGTGTGTGGGTGGTGGGGGTAGAGCAAGCGGGAGGTCGAGGGGATGGAGAGTGGGAGCATGGGCCAAGGGGGGAGTAGGCGGAGCTGGAAGGGCGGCGGAGCGGGGAGCGGGCGGAGGGGGCCCCTTTGGCGTCAGCTGAGAAGCCACATCCATGGGCCGGGCCAGGAGCCATGGGTTCAGTGGGGGGCGGGGTGCGTGGGGGGTGGGGGTGGGGGTTGGAAGTGTGGGTGGGTGGGGGTGGGGGTTGGGGGTTGGGGGTGGCAGGGTGTGAAGAATGGGATGTTTGGAAGTGTGGAAAGGGTGGGGTGTGTGGGGGTGGGGGTTGGGGTGGGGGTGGAGCCATGACGCCAGGAGCAAGGGGCCCATGACGGGCGGCGGGGCAGGGGTTGGGGGTGGGGGTTGCGGGTGGGGGTGGAGCAGCTCAAGGGATGAAGAATGGGACCAGGAGCCATGGGTCCCTGAAAAGCATGGCGGGGTGCGTGGGGGGCTTGCGCAAGGGGAATGTATGCGGAGTGGGAAGGGCGGATGGGCGGGGGTGCGTGGGTGGTGGGGGTAGGGGCGGAGGGGAGGCATGGGTCCATGAAAGGCATGGGCGTGCGTGATGGGTCCATGACATGAGGGGTAGGTCAAGGGGACAAAGGGGAGTAGGCGGAGCTGGAGAGTGGAATGGTAGGGAAGGGGAAGGGAGTGGCAGAGGGTAGGCCGCAAGATGTGGCGGGCGGGTGTGAGGGGTTGGGGAGGGAGGGGTGGGGGGTGAGGGGTGGTGGGGTGTGGGGGGTCGGGAGCGTTGGGGGAGGGGGGGTTAGGGGCTGGAGGGGGCAGTGTGGGAGGGTGGGTGAGGGGGGGGGT